AGGTAGTATTTGTGAAGGATTGCTTTTCTGAATCGGTATCGACTCTGGCAAATAGGGGAAGATCTTGTTTTCGAAAACCGCTCGGTGGACGTTTGCCCACACATGCCAACTGGTATCGTCTAGAATAAGTATGAGACCTTGCGTCCCCGCTCTCTGTTACATTTCACCAGTCACATTCTGCTTCGCGGCATTCTAAAACGTTTTAATTTCGAATTCCCGAGCGCAATCCATCATCTGCTTACGGTTCATTAGAAACTCCGCTGCTATTCGAGAGTTGCGGTGGAACTCATTTCGAGCCTTGAATTTGCGAAAGATTCTGTCTCGCACTCCCGCCCGGACATCGTCAGGAATCGGGTTTACTTGCCTAGCTCCAGGCCCTAGTACGGACATTGAGGAAGAAGCGGCTGGCTTGTCTACATCCATTGCGGCAGAAGTCTGCTCGTGCAGCCGAAGCGCCGTTGCTTGAGGCTTTATTTGGACAGAAAGTAAGATTGAAGCTGTCACGCCTTCCATCGGTGCAGAGTTCTCATGGGTAGGAGAGTTTGTTACATTCACATCGTCCATCCGTGCAGGTACCTCCTGGCTTGTGGTTGTAGATTTCTCTGGTGATGCCGTTCCCTGATGATGCACGTCTTCCACAGGCGGGTTAGACACTTCTACATCTATGTCTTCACCTTGCTCCAAGAAACCCGAGGAGTCAGAGGAAGGAGGTTGACTGGCATTGGGCGTTTTCTTTGGCTCCGGATATCTGAGATGCTCGTGCAGAACCGAACGCCACGCTACGAAAGTTGGATCTTTCCTATCCTTTGCCTGATTCATCTGTTTCTTGAAGAGGGTATTCAAATGTGGAACCGATTCGGTGTACGGCTGATCCCTCCGGTTGTCCCAGAGCTTTGCTTCGAATCTAATCGCTTTAGATGGGAGCTCGGAATACTCGATTGCCCACTCGGGATATGCCCCTGATCCCAGGAGTAGCTTATTAAGGTTGAATATATGCAGGGCAAACTCTTTTACATTGGTTAAGCGTACGGAAGGTAGGTCCACCACGATGTCTTCGGTGTTGAATGCTCTAGGACCGCCTGGTGATCTGTTCGATGGTTTAGGAGACCCGAAAGAAGCTATCGATCCTAGAGTTACGGGCATAGACACTGGCAACACGCTAGAAATTCTAGGCTGCAACGGCTTTTGCCCGAGACCACCAGAGAATGGCGCTGATTTATCACCTTGAGCGCTAGGCTCTCGAGGCCCAGCAGGTATCGCTCCAACAGAAGCACTTCCTAGGGTCACTGAGCCAGGAGTTGAAGATAGAGTAGGTACAGGTTGAACCGGTGAGCTTGGGGTCTTCTGTAAAGTTGAAAGGAGCTTATATGCTAGAGACTGAGTAGGGATAGGCTGAGCCACTAAGTTTGGGGCCGTCTGCGAGGGTAAAGGAGCCTTGCCGTCTTGGGAGTCGAGATTCTAGACTATGGTCATCATCTGGTTCCCGCCATTTTTTAGTAGAAACTCACTCAAGTTGTCTTTGAGAAACCTTTCCCAATCAGTTAGTGACGCCCCATAGCTACTAGATTCCCACCATTCATTGATCATTTCAGACACTTTCTTTGCTAAATCACGGTACTCGCCAACTCCTTTAGCCTTCTCGAACAACTTTTGCTCGTAGGACTTCGCTACGTCTTGGATCTGACCACTGAGGCCGTACACGTAGTAGTAATCTCCCATTTCACAAGTACTGTCGAAACTTCCGAAGATCTCGGCGAGCTTTTCGACTGTCTCTTCGCGTGCCTGAGGAGTTACAGTCACGGTCGACAGTGGCAGCGGACAAAGCTGGTCACTCGCCTTTCGGCGCGGTTGACGCGGCTGGGCCTTGCCTTTCTGTCGTCGCGCCCATACCTCCTCTGTAGCCAGCTTCTTGATATCTTCGCGGGGTATCTGATACTTCAGTACACCCTGGATTCTAGGATGGGAGTTCATGGTGAGAAATCTTCAAATCGTGTCGAGGTGAGTTTTCTACGCCAAGTTATGGGTAAGTGGGTGCTGGGTAACGTTGTCGAAATAATACCAATGATAAATTTGGTAAGCAGGCCTCTCTATGTGCCCAGGCACGGCGATAAGCTTAATATGAGAGTGAAAGCAAAGGCTTGGCGCCGTCGGCCGTCGGAGTGGATGCGGCAGAAGAGGAGATAAAGATATGTTGTGGCCCCACAGGATATGGACTAGGTCGAGGGCAATAGACGTTGCCTTTGCCTAGATCGTAAGACGTGTAGAAGTTAATTCTATAGAAAGTTATGGTGGGACTCTGGGATAATGCAAGTTTCGGCTGGCAATGTTGGAGCTGAGTGCGGTATATGGAGAGAGCCAGAAGGAGCAGAGTAAGGTGCTTATGTATGAAGGGGAAGACGGTGACAGAGACTGAATCGCGAGGTGGAGCAGGTGACCCATGGTGTTATATAAGAAGGCTATGAGGGAGAATAAGTGACTGACTGAAGCATTTGGTATGGCAAGGCGGTGAAAGCACCGCAAGGACGTTTCAAGCATCATTGTGCAGCAGCCCTCCCCGGGCAAAGGGTATGTCCGTGACAGATCACTTGCAGAAGCACAGGCCACCGGTTGTGGTGATTCCTTTTGGGAACAGTCCCGATTATTTATCGTTTGGACCGTGGGTCGGGGGTTAGTATCCGTACCTTCACCTCGTAAGTGAAAGCTTGTGGTGAAAGGCTAGGCACGCGCTAAATCATTGCAAGACATCATCGTACTTCCGACGATCGTACAGAAGAACAAGCGCTTTAGCTTGTAAAAAAGTATCTAGCACAAACTTAGCGACATTTGCCTATTTAAAAAAGTCTATGTCGAAGTATACCCCGCAAGTCTACGTAGTAGAATGCTCCGTTTTTAAGCTTGAAGGAGAAATAAGCATACCTCACACCCTCTTTTTCATGCTATCACAGCACTTGCTTCCTTTTCCCTCTTCTCTTCTTCTTGCCCTCCTAGTCTTCCTCTTCTCTTGAAGATGTTCTCAAGGACTGCCTTGAGCTCGGACAAGAATCTGTCTACCTCCTTCTCGGTTCCGACTGTGATCCTCAAGCACCCAAGACAACCATACTCTTTTCCACGGAAACGAACAACAACACCTTTCTCCTCCGCTAGCGCTTCGTAGACTGCCAAAGCTGTCTCGTTCGATGGCTTTCCGCCCTTGTCTACTGGCGCGTCGAGCATCTCGACAAGCAAGAAATTCGACTCCGTGCCCCCAAGAAATTGTCCGATACCAGGTATCTTGGGCATCTCTCTCAGCATCCTGTCACGCTGCTTTAATATTAGATCCACATTCCTCCGCATAACTGCAATGTGTTCAGAGCTAAATGCTGCACGTGCAATTTGACTCGTGGGGTTCGAGATGTTATACGGAGCCTTCAACGAATTCAAAATCCGCGCAATGGCTGGGTCCGTGAAAGCCGCGCCCAACCTTATACCCGCGAGACCGAAAGCTTTTGACAACGTCTGCATAACTACTAGATTAGGCCACTCCATTACCCACTGCGATAGACTCGCGCCTTCATGTGAGAAGTCGATGTATGCCTCGTCTAGTATGACCACTCCATTCCAGCTCTCGTGCTCTAGTATCTGTTGTATATCCTCCTTCTTCAGCAATGCTGCTGTTGGGTTTCCAGGCGAACACAAGTATGCCAATTTTATGCAGGGGTCTGAAGATAGGGCGGACAGTATGTTCGGAACATCTAGCTGGAAGTTGCCGGCTAGGAGCGGAACTTTCACTAACGCAACATCGTTGACCTGCGCCGAAACACTATACATGCCATATGTGGGAGGGCAGGTGAGAATCTTGTCCTTGCCAGGGACGCAGAATGCGCGGAGGAGTGCGTCGATCGCTTCGTCGGAGCCAACGCCAACGAAAAGGTTGTCTGGGGTGAGGTGCTTCGAGGAGTGGGTGTTGGTGTTTCGAAGGTCACAGATGCGTTGCTTAAGATCTATTTGGTGGCTTAACGTTACGTCAATTAGCATCGTCTGCATTACACAAAGGCGATTGAAGTCTCACGGGTCTGGGTATCGATTCAATCCCCATAGGTTCACATCAATCGTGGGTGATGAACATGACGTGCCATTGACACCGTCGGTGGAGACATTTTTGAGCTTTCCGTCGCTACTGAGCGCCAGCCCAGGTCCGTATGCGTTCTCATTCGCATCGAGAAGGATATTAGTGCCGTCGTCCTTGTAGTCGCTAGCCTCGTCATTAATCTTCAATGAAGACTTTGCAAGCCATTGAGCCGGACTCACTCTCGAGCGCACCGATATGGCTCCAATGCAAGAATATTCGATCTCGCGCACCTTGATAGATCAAATGGCGACTTCCTTGGAGTCATGGTGAGGTTATATGGTGGAAGGATGTTGATGGAGCTCGTGGTATAGGGAGGTGGGCTGGCGGGGAACTTTTAATGATTCATAGGGCGGGGGCTTGCGAAATCGGGGGAGTCATCGTCGAGGACGCATCTTCCTTGATCGGGACTATCATCGCTTTACTACAGGAGCCATTGTAAACATGAAAGAGAACCTTGAGTGACAAGGAAGAGGAACGAGTCCCGAGTTGATGCATCCCAGGTCTGTTGGAATTTTTGCAAGCAATGCAGACAGTTGGGATCCATTGTTCCGCAGTTAGGAACTTGAAGTGTAGAAGGCTATGCCATCCTATAGCAAGAAGACTAAGCGACACGAAAGGCTGAGAAAAGGAAGAAATAACTGCAATTATTTGCTTGGTGCTGTTTTTATGCTTTCTCTAATGGATAGCCAGCCTCAAGAGGGCCGGGGCTTCGAGGGGCGGCTCATCCAGCCGATGGATACCGCTCACCATCAAGAGTCGGTAAAAAGCCTAGCTGTGCGGCTAATTTTAGGCCACGAACTATCATTAAGAATTAGGGTGATCAGCGCTTCTTGATAAATGTTTAACCAATATAGTTAATTTATAAAGAAACATATCCCATCAAATGAGTACATCCGATATGGTCTAGTGGCTAGGATTTGCCGCTCTCATTGAGAGTCAAACGCTCCTGTAGTGCCGGCAAGGCCCGGGTTCGATTCCCGGTGTCGGAATATATAAATCACACACTTTTTTTTTTTGATCTCACGTGGCCCTTGATTGAGGTCTACTTGGTCAGCGTGAATTGACATCAAGAGGGTGGATTTTGCTATGAACATGTTTTGAACATTAAAACAGCGAGAACTTTCAATGATTTGTATTTGGCATTTGGGTTGGCAGAATTTCTTTTATATATGGGATCACGTTGTGCGGCATATTCCCCTAGTGCTTCCATATCCTAGTCTACCTCTAATAAGTGGATGCCAATAGCATTCCATATATTCTCACTGCAAGCCTTATGCTCTAGGTCGAGCCTAGTAACTCTTCTCGATCCGTCTACTTCAACCAGAGCTCATCACTGTCCTACGAAGTAGAAAATGATAAACCCGCCAACATCACATCCCACACCTCGTGGCTTTATTGCCAACCCTCAATCCTCCAAATTTACCCTCATTCACCTTGTATCGGGCCGCTCAACAAGGTAACCAATAAAGCGGCTTTTCCGCTCCCTCGAACACGAGGCTGTGTGTTCGCCCTTGATCACCGAACTCCGTCAACCCCAAATCACAAATCTCTGCACTTCCCCGATCTGGGCAACCTACGGAGATGAACTGGAGCCTTAACGCTATAGATATTGAGGTGGGCACCATTTGCAACACGCCCCACGCACGAGATTTCTATAGCATCGCTGCGCCTCCGCGAAAAACCAAACATCGATTAATCAAGAACGGCATTATTGTGCTGGCATTAGATATCGTTCATACAGCTCCAAGGCGTTGTCTTATTATAACTGTAATCTCGTATTCGGACGGTAGTATGGCGTCAGCTAGCTTTGCGAGCACCCCGACGTGAGATTAGCTGTGCCTACCTGCTCACGACAGCGGGTACCTGCGCGGTGCCGAGGTAGTGCGCGTCTGTGCGAGTGAGGAGAGCATAGAGGCTTCGTCAGGCTGAGCAAAGAAATGGTGAAGAATAATTGGGCGCATAGTTCGCCGGTTGGGGTTGGGAAACTATGGGTAGTCTAAGTGTATGGTTATTCTTGAGTGCTCATGTACAAAGAGGTGCTGCTAATATAGATGCATGGAAAACACGACCTATGGCGGCATAAATGTGGCGAACGGTGGATTGATGGGAAGAATGGAGAGCTTGTTTAGTTGCAAAAGTAGAGAAGTTGAGAATAGTCATTGTCAAGACTACCCAAACTATTAATTCAAGATACCCAGTTCTCTCATTAACAGAGGACACACTCTTTTGTGTTCTCGCCCTTTCTCTATAATTCTACTTCTTAGACCAAATGTCACGCTTCTAACTTCAACTTGGGGCAGTAGGAAGCTGTTAAGTGTACCTCTCGAAGCAATCGTAGGGTTCAAGTCCAAACATGATAAAAGGCAGTCACGAGCGTATAAAAACCTAGTACTACTTTCGTGATAGATTTAAAACGCGACACCCACGGTTGACAGTTCGATACGATCATGCCATTCGATCGTTTCTAAACGGCTTTATTTTCGTTTTGCTTCATTCTTGTCACGCCGCGCCATATTTGCCGTTTCCATGGCTTGTGATGAGTTAGTGCAGAATACTCATGCTCCACGCCTATCCATTAGCATGGCTATTGCTAAAGAAAATGGCCGAGTGAGCGGATAATACGCGCGCATCACGGGAAGTGGTCTGTGGTTGGTGAGCCCAGCATTAATCTCCGCGTTTAATAAATGATGTTTTGGAATTGCAAGAAGAGTGATGTTGCATAGAGAAGGAGTTGGTGAGGTAAGCATGATTTATGCTGCATGAGGGATACGGATTGGGCGTTTAGGCCGACAAGCCACGGAGCAATGTCTAGGGCAGGTTGTGGAAATACATTTTGAGCGCAAGAAGCTGCATGAATTTGAACTAGAGACATGAGAGAGGAGAATGCGAAGATGCATAAGCACTGTTTAGGGTATCATTCTTCTAACAGATTCATAACAAGTTGAGGAATCACTTCGACCCCTTCAGCCCTGATCGCACTGACCGGTATAGATTGTATGTTGCGCCTCCATGCGTTCTCACGGTTACTCGGATGGGGCTGCGTGCTGTTGTTGACCGCATCTAGATACTGTCGAAGCGCTTCGTAATTCTCTTGAGTATTTAGCAAATCCGCCTTTGTCGCTACGACGAACCAAGGCTTGGACGATATAGGGGTGGATGCCAAAGGGGGAAGAGCCTGTGGAGAGGTAAGGTCTGGCTGGTCGAGCTCCTCAAGCTCTTTTTGCTGAGATGCACGCCCTCCTACAGGCCTATACATGACCATCCTCCGCTCTGTCTCGGCATTCAACTCTTTCCCCCGCAAACCCTCGTATTCTGAGACTTCTCTCCAAAGAAGCTTCAACGTCTCGATCGCGTCTCCCGTAGACAAATCAACAACAAATGCGAGAACAGCCGCGCGCTCTACATGCCGCAGGAAACCTAGACCGAGACCTTTGTCAAGGTGTGCATCTTCAATCAAGCCTGGGACATCAGCAATTAGGAAGTTCTCCCTCAAGATGCCATCTCTCCCGCGCTTCATGACTGACGGGCGGCCCTTGTGATTGTCCAGTACAACAGTTCCCACATTCGGCTGGAGTGTAGTAAACGCCCAATTTCCAACTCGGGCTTTGCTATTAGTGAGCGCTCGGGTCAAAGTGCTCTTTCCGGCATTTGGGAGACCGACGAGGCCAAGATCGGCTAGAATCTTTAACTCCAACTGGAGAGATAGCTTCATGCCTTCGTCTCCCCGTGTAGCCATCTTAGGTCGTGGGATATTTGATGTAATGAAGTGGGGATTGCCAATGCCACCCATAGCACCTGCAGCAAGAAGCATAGGCGCCTCCATATGCTTGTCCAGATCCAAGTATATCGGAGCTTCTGGTTGGAGTGCCGCAAGATGTGACCGCCGAGACTTGGGTAGCTCAGGGAACGTCATCCTATTCAACTCGGAGGGAACTGTGCCTGGGAACACCAGCCATTTGTCCTTCCTGTAGCTGCCTTGTTCCTCGGCGCTATTCTTGCCGTACCGTTCTGCTCTTCGCTCAGCCCACTCTGCATCCGCAACCGGATCGCGCCTCTGAATCTCACGAACGATGGTGCCAATTGGAACAGTGATGAGCACATCTTGGCCTCTTTCGCCCCCTTTCATCTTTCCTTGTCCATTTCGGCCTCTTCCGGCCTTAATAAGACGCCTCCGCGCGAGCTTGTGCAACGACGTCTCACCGCGGACTGCTTGAATGTAAACATTACCTCCGCTACCACCGTCACCGCCATTGGGTGGTCCTTCTTCGATATATTTCTCCCGAAGAAACGACACGCAGCCATGGCCTCCAGAACCGGCCTCGATGGTGAGAATACATCGGTCGGCGAAGGGCGTCAGGGAATAATTATCCGGTGTCGGATTGAGATTGGATGAATCGGGGCCGGTCTGGGACTCATCGTGTCGGGTTGTAGTAGAGCTGCATCTTGAAAAGGCAAATGGAAGCTTGCACAGGGAACGGCGAGAGGTGCGGCAGAAGGGGGGATACAGGAACGGCGTCAGGGTCCCGCCCAAGGGGCCAATTCGAATCGAGGACATGCAGCGGACAGGAGAAGTCCAGTATCGCTCTCGACGCTGCTTCAGACGCGGAATGTCGGAATAGGCCGTCGATGTCGTCCAGAAACTTTTTTGTCGGGGGTTGGAGTCCGATCCATGTCCGTCGATCGGGTTACATAATCTATCCACCTATCATGACGGACTTGCGCCGTTCCAGAACAGCTGGAAGAGATACGACCCCTGACATTCACCAGACGCACGCTGAACGAGGTCGCTAGCAAAGTCCGCTCGCGTGTACTCTTCCCTGCTGCAGTCGCTTCTAGCCCTGCTATCGTGCGAACGTAGAAGCAACGTATGGGCTCGAGAGCGTAAGCACATTGGCGGGCAATTCCAAGGTACCTGCATCCAGCCGAACTTCACCCATACCTATCGCCCACCTATCACCCACCTGTCAAGCTCCGCAAGAATTGCCTGATTGCAGCCATTCTGCCTTGGCTCCCTCAATCTGGGTCGCCAAATTATTGGCAATTTACCTCTGCGAGTGTCTGAAACGCTTTCAATCTGTTCCTGTGCCTGCAACTGTATGCCACCTTTTGGCCCCTACGTGTCGCAATGATCCGATCTCTGGTCCTCGCAACAGTGTACGGTATTCTACTGTGGGTCGCATCATTTTCCTCTCCATCCCCGATTCTTGTTCTCCTTTCAGAAGACCAGTTAGCCCGCCTTGTTGCGCCGTTGAGATGGCTCTTGGCGCTTGCCCTTGTCCGAGAGATCAACGCCGGGCTTAGCTGCTGGGCTGAGAACAAATGGCTGTGGACAAATGATAAGAACGCCTGGGATTGGAAAAGCGAGGTGGCCGTCGTGACTGGTGGCTCAAACGGTATAGGCGCCATGGTGGTCAAGAAACTCGCCTCTCATGGAATCAAAGTCGCTGTTCTCGATGTGCAGCCCCTGTCAAAGGAACTGCAGAATGGTAATAACCCCGACCTGAAGGATGCATTTGTCGCGTGGCTACGGACTAATGTGCATTGCAGATGAAGGTAATCTGATCAAATTGTACAAATGTGACATCACATGTTGGCGTGCAGTCCACGCGGCCGGAAACGCCATTCGCTCAGATCATGGTAGCCCTTCCATATTGATCAACAACGCTGGAATAGGGAATGCAAACACCATCCTGGAAGTGACTCCGGAACGCCTCCGGACCATATTCGACGTCAATCTCATTAGTCACTGGAACACGGTACAGGAGTTCTTACCCGACATGATATCGAAGAACAAGGGTCATATCATGTCCACAGCAAGCCTTGCCGCCTTTTTTGGCCTAGCAGGCATGGTAGATTATTCCTGCACTAAAGCTGGACTTATAGCATTCCACGAGGGACTTAGTCAAGAACTCAAGCATCGGTACAATGCTCCTAAGATCAAGACCAGTATTGTCTACCCCAACTGGACCAAAACGAGGCTCATTACAGC